TGGCTATGTCGCTGGACTCCCACGTAGTCGACCGCGGTTCACGTTCCCGGACCCAGTGGCTTAAAACTCACACCGGGCGCATGTGCGTGCGTGCCCAAGATCCCGAGAGGAGAATGGAGGAGAAGGGATTGCAGCGTGACCATCCCCCCTAGGGGGTGACTTCTCGCTTTCTGTCTCTATGTCTCTCTGTCTTTCTGGCAAGCACATGCGCCCTATAGCGAAAAAAACCTCTCCAAAAAATATATATATATTTGCTATGGTGATTGCATGTTCTATCAAGTCAAGTACAAGTTACTGAGTTTTACTAAAGTTTTAGGTAGAAAAATTTGGAGTCTTTTCCGTTCAGAAAGTTCTAATTGGAAATTTCATTTTCTACAAAGTCCTACTGTTATTTGAGAAACATTCAGAAAGACTTTTTATCCTTGGTGGCTATTCCTACGGCTAGGACTGTTCTAGATCGAGTCCTGTGCCAGTGGTTCTCAACCAGGGCTGATTTTGCCATCCCAGGGGGCGTTTGACAACATTCTTGGTTGTCAATACTAGAGGGAGAGGATGCTACTAGAATCCCTAGAGTGGGTGGAGACCTGCAATGTAGATAAACATACTAGGAATCATAAGACAGTCTCCAAGACAATGTCCATATTACCAAAGCTGAGGATCCCTGCCCTACACCATGGTTATCAGATACTGGGAGCCCAGCAGGGGGCTAAGGTATCAGAACAGGTGTAAAGTGCTAGGAGTTTCTCTAGAGTGAGGACAGGTAGCCCCATAATAACACCTTTTTGCTGCTTATCTGTGGGTCCCCAGGCAGTATGACAGGTCCCATCTGTTGAAGTATGCTTATTTAACTCTCATGACTGTGCTACTGAGACAGGCAGTGTCTCATAGGTCAAGTGAGCTGTGGTTCAGAAGCCTCAAGAGTAACTGCAATTAGGAAGGAGTGGAGACTAATCTGAATTAAGTCAGCCCATCTGAACATGTGCTTTAGTCAGCAGAACCAAGAGCTATAACTGTTTAGATGAAGTGCAGGTCTCCTAAGCCTGTTTCTTCCCATGGAGTGGCCACCCCTGTAGATTAGACCCCCTAACCTGTCTCTCTAGTTTTGACCGCTTTCATCCTCCAGTTTTTTCTCCACACCAAAGTCATCTTTTCCCGAAATTGAAAACTTTCTCATTTCCTTTTCTTACCCACAAGTTAAGTCCACCATCTTAATCATGGCCTAGAAAGTTGGGAGTTGAATTCAATACATTCTGTTAAGGATGTTCAATAAATTCATGTCTGAGTAAGATGAGAATCGCAAAATAACTACAAGATTTTACTCATGGTCACTAATAGAACTGTATCTTTTTTTTTTTTTTTTTTTTGCCATAAGGTGTTTTTTTTCACCAGAGAGAGACAAAGCCAGTGAGAGAAGGCAAGAAATCACCCTGGAAGGGGAAGTGGCAGAGATGGCCACCTTTGTTCAATCCCTTCTCCTCCTGGAATTTTTTTTTTTTTTTTTTTTGCCATAAGGTGTTTGCATTCACCAGAGGGAGACAAAGCCAGTGAGAGAAGGCGAGAAATCACCCTGGAAGGGGAAGTGGCAGAGATGGCCACCTTTGTTCAATCCCTTCTCCTCCTGGAATTTTGTGCATACATATGCATGTTCCTGGTGTGCTTTTTAAGCCACTGGGTTCCAGGATTAGAACTTTAGTTGACCATGTGGAAGTCCAGTGCCCTAACTACTATGCCTCCTGTTGGCCCCTAGAACTGTATTTTGAGGATAGGATCAGTGAAGTTTCTTTCTATAAATGAAGGTGCTCAGGGGGCTGTATTTTGCTTATATAGAATGGGATCCTTGACCATTGGTTAAAATCACATATATACGTTTTAGTTGTGAAACCAGCAGAAAGTGTATTGAAATGAGTATAAGAGGAAGGTTTATATGTTGTCTTACTTCAAATCTACAAATGATCAGTTTATTGGAGACAGGGACTCCGGTTTATATCTTTTTTCATATCCAACAATCATGGTGACTATGCAATAGGCTTTGGTAGTTCTTGCTTAAATAAATTGCAGTTTCTGATGAAATAAATCAGTTTTGAAAGTGTGTTCTGTCCACCTCCTGGTGGAAAGAAAAGGAATATATTATTCAGTATTTTGTTTTAAAGCACAAGGGCTCTTTCTTGCCATCTAGTGGCAACAAAGGAAAATGGAGTTGAATATGTTAGTTTTGAAAGCCTACTGGCTTTATACATGTTGATCATTCAGAGAAAATTAGGGTATATATTACATATACAATTTATGGATGGCTAAACATACTAGTTTTTATATTAAGATGGGCTTTATATTAAGATGGATTTATTGGTGTGAATTTTTGACATGGTATTTTTGACATATGTTGGCGTTATTGGGACATACATTTATCGTAAGTCTAGTAGCATCTATAAAATAAAATGTTACTGAAAATGTGTTCTTAACTTAAGCTCTGTGAATACAAAGCACACAAAAGGTATTGCTCAAAAAAATGCATTCTCTTATGTCCTTTGCTCAATTTACCTGTGTAGTCTGTCCCTTGGACATCAAATTTAAAAAGAGAGAGAAATCTTTGTATTCATTGGGTAACTCTGTGGCATGGGACAGATGAACCCTGAAGTATAAGTGGTATAACAAAATTAAGATTTATTTTTTTCTCATATAAGACTCCAGTGATGGCAGTTGTGGCAGCTTTCCTTGCAACAATCCAGAGACCCAGACTACTTCCTGTCTTTAGGATGGTTTTCCTAGAATTGAACTTCAAATAAAGTGGCAGGCCAGCAAGGCTTAGTATAGATATCTTTCTGCTGAAAACCTTGACCTGTCATCCTTTTTCCTCAGTTCTTTACTCTCTCTGTTTTGATCATTCAGGCCAAGCCAGCTGGTCTTCAAAGCCACCTTGTTCACTAGTTCTGCTGGGATTTGTATTTCCTTTTCTCTGCCGGGCACATGTGCCCTTCCCTTGATTTTTGAGATGGTTCATTCTCAGGGTCATTTCTAGAACACTTGTACAACTTTCAGAGAGGCCACCTAGAATGCATCATCTAAGATCACATTTCAACTGCTCTCTGTTTCGCCCTCACTCCATTTGAGATTAAGCCCTTATTACCTGGGATAGTCATTGTGTGTAATGAATGAATGTCTCACCTACACACTAGAACAGTAACAGCTGGACACCATCCTTGGAAAAGTTGAGAATGTCATCTCTGAAGTCACTTCTGTGGTCTGTGGTCAGGAGAGGGAGGCAAGTTGAGTCCATGGTTTACTTTTCTTTCTAACACTTTCTACTTACCAGCCACTATTTTATTAAAGTATTTGTGAATTTGTTTTTCTCTCTTTTCCTAGTATAGAGCACGGACACCAGGAAGAGAGGAACCATGGTTTATTCACTGCCAACTCTCCAACACTAGAATGGTGCCCTGATCCTGGTAGGACAGTCAGAATGCCTTTCCTAGATGGATGAGTGTGAATGAACAGTGAATGAATGTAGAGAAAAAAACTCAAGAAAGAATGGGCTTCATATGGGTCTTAGAAGATCAGCAGAATTTTTCTTGGTAGATAGGGGTAGGGGAGGTATTGTAAGTAGGAACACAGGCAGTTGAATGACACGGTCCCGTAAACTTCAAGCACTGTGGCTTAGTAAGGAAGCAGTATTCTTAAGTTGTAATTCCATACCCTTTTCAGTTTTTCTACAGCTTTTGTACTTTTCTGGGGAAGATTATACAGTGTATGTGTGTAGTATTACTCAGGAACACATGCTTCTCAGGTAAGTTGTATTTCCTGAAAAGATACCTGCTGACAGTGTGTGTGCTAAGGAAAGTATGCTAAGGAAAACAGAGATTTTAACAGTTACCTAAATAGTGCATATTAGAAATTTAAGGCACTGTGGAATATATTGGTAGATAAAATTCAACATGTTATGTATTATGAGGTATCAGAGTTATTCTTCTCTTATTAATGAAAGAAGAAGATATCAACTCACAGAATAAAATGGTAAAATTCTTCTAGTCTGTCTATATTTTCAGTAGTGAAATGCACAATTAATGACTATCAGATCCTTGTCACTCAAAGTATGGTCTCCAGAGCAGGATTGGTCCTGGAACGGTTCCTGCAGGTCTGCAAGGGGGTAAGAAAATAGAGTGAAAGGACAAAGTTTGAACTTTATAAATATTCGACAACTTAATTTTATATCTATTGAATGTAATTTTAAAAACTAGGCTCGGGGACGAGCAGTTAGCATAATGGCTATATTGCTGGACTCCCACGTAGTCAACTGCAGTTCGAGTCCTGGACCTGGTGGTTTAAACTCACACCGAGTGCATGTGCATGCATGCCCAAGATCCCGAGAGGAGAATGGAGGAGAAGGGATTGCGGCGTGGCCATCCCCCCTGGGGGGGTGATTTCTCGCTTTCTGTCTCTCTGTCTCTCTCTGTCTGGCGAGTGCACGCACCCTATAGCAAAAACCTCTCAAATAAAAAGAAAAAACTAGGCTTGTACTTAATGCACTTCCTAGTTTTTCTGTTTTTAGTAAGGTACTTTATCTTCATCACATTTTACAAAAGTAAGAGTCTTTGATGGATAAGAAACGAAAAAGAAAACTTACCATTTGTTCCTGGGATAACAGAGTGTTGATATATGGATTATGAAGGCTGTTTATATTTTCAAAGTCTCTCATCAGTACCAAAGCCAAGAGTGGCTCTCATTTCTTTGTCTGATACTCAGTGTCTGGAGGATTATTCCAGCATGTTTGAGGTAGCTGGTTGGTGAGTCTGATTCATATCTGTTCTCAAGAGAGTGGCTATGAAGTCAATAAGAACACAGGTAAATAGAGGATTGTGAAAATTATTCTTATTTCTTTTCATTTTTTAAAAAAGTTTTGCCATAGGGCATGTGTGCTCACCATAGAGAGACACAGAATGTTGCCAGTTACCTTAGGGGAAAAAAATGCAGACTATTGACTTCTCCTGTGGATCCCACATCTCTTACATGTGCCTACGTTTTCTCACCCCCACTGCCATCACTTTGACTTCTACCCAAGCCTTCATTTTCCTGAGTTGGAAATATTAAGATTGGCCTGTTCTCCTCAAAGGCCAAAGTATAACAAGCAAGTGTAGACATATGTGGAAAAGCAGATTTGGATTCAGTAGAAGAAATGACAACTAGAGTACTCAAGAAATAAATGGAATGCTGTTATGATGAATGAATAGAAATTAGGTTGTAGCATCAGGCAGTCTGGGTTTATAAAGAGGTTCTAAACACTTATTTGTTGTGCACTTTGGAGAAATTACTTAAACTCTCATGCCTTGGTTTCTTGAAATGCAAAATAAAGTCAATAACAAGATGTACCCCATTAAGCTACTTGGAGAATTAAATGAGTTAACAAATGCAGAATGCATACAAATTCATAAAACACAAATACTCTACACCTGGGGATGTTATCAATCTCATTGTTATGAAAGAAGTCATGTGGTTACTCATTAGGGTAGAGATTGCTAACAAGTCAATAAAATATTCTGTCCTCCTCTTTCTGAATAATGGATTAGTCCATATTTCCTAGATTACCTGTAATTAGGTGTGCCCAGTGATTGATTTATAGTCAACAGAATATATAAGAAGTGTGTGCCATTGCTAGTGTAAAAAAGACGATTTTTTTTGTAGTTTTTAGCCAACTTTAGAAATTTGGTAAAGGTTAGTGAGGGGAGGTTTGGGTTGTTAAAAAGGAAATACCTTGGTGCAGCTAGTGATATGATGTTTAAAGTGACTGGATCCCACATGGCCGATAGCATGGTTCAATTCTCAGACTCAGTGTCTTGAGAAACATTCCAGGTGCCTGTACGTGTTTACCCATAACCCTCAGAAGAAAGTGAAAGAGAAAGAATTGCAACAAGGCCATCACCCCGAGGGGCGTTTTTTGCTTTTTTTCTCTCTCTGTTCAGTGAGTGCATGTGCCCTACGAAACTTTTTTTGAAAAGGGCTGTATGTTTTTATGTTGCAGTAAATATACAATATGAGGAGACTTCAAAAAGTTCATGGAAAATAAAAATAAAGACCAAGTTATTTTCATGCAGACCAATTGAAATCCATGTAAATTTTTTTCATAACATGTATTTTCCATGAAGTGTTTGAAGATGCCTCACTATAGCCATTAGTTAAACTGCTAATTCTCCCGCACAAAGCAGTGTGCCTGACACAGGGTCTGGGGAGGGATACATCAGGGAAATGCTCTTCCTTCCTAGTTCACACATTAGGGTGTGGTTTAAGGATGGTGTCTCCAAGCTCTGTGTTCTCTTAGTGACCTGTAAACTGATAGAGTATTTACTTTCAGTTCTTCCTCCTGTCTGAAACATGGGCCCTGCTTTTAAGGAAAATGTACAAGGCCTAGAAGTCAATTTTAGTAGGATTGGGAAGTCAATTATTGAAGGATTGGGTAATCAGTTATAGTAGGACTGAGAAGTCGACTATCGTAGAATTGAGAAGTCAACAGAGCACTGTGAGACCATCGATCTAAGAAGGCACAGAAGCCATCTGTTCCAGGTTTAGGGCAGAAATTTCAAAGGGATTCCAATGTGCTGCTGCTGAGCTTGTGCACAGCCAGGCCTTGTCAATGCTACGCACCAAGCAGCCCCTGTCACTTAGTTACAGTGTGAGATACAAGAAGTCTGGGAGCATGGGAGGGGTGGCACTGGGAACCAGGAGACCTGGGAGCTGACAGGGCCCACGGTGTTGGGTGCCTCCACTCAAGAACACATGCTGTCCAGTACCTACCCAGCTCAGGTTGGAGTGCAGTCCCCTACTTTGCTCTTGGCCAATCAAGTGCATGGCCACCCTGGCACCTTAGCCTTTGGGGAGGCAAAGCAGCAGTGTCCCTCCCTTAGTGGCAGCAAGGGAAAGTCCTTGTTCACAGGTGAACCAGCGTCCGGGGTAGGGCAGGTATGTGGATGGATGCCCTGTGGCCTTTATGAGTCCTGGAGACCCAGGCTCCAAGGAGAGTAGCCATGGATCCTTCAGAATTACCACTGTAGGGAGCAGGTGGAGAGATGGCCAGGAACATCACAACCAGCATGCCAGCCTCAGGTACCTCCTACCCAGTGCTTGGCAATCCCCTTAAAAGGCAGCCTCGACTCCCCCTTTGCTGGATGTTTTAACCGGAAAGTCACACCAATTTGGCTTTAATCAATTTGGAGCTTTTCTTTTTACAAGAAAAATACGGAAAAGGCATTTATTTGGTGCTTTGAAGTGCTGGCCACACAGAGTGGGCAATTCCAGCCAGGCTCTTGTGCCTCCTGCCTATAGGCCCTGCCCCTGGGCCCAGGATTTACCTGGGCGACTGAACCTCTTCAATGACTGAACTCTAGCCCCCACCCCATGCTGTAACCCTCTTCCCAGGACCCTGCTCCTCTGTGCTCTCTCTCAGGGATAGTGAGTGTGTCCCCCTACTCCTATCAGAGTTCCTGCTGCCCCCTTTCTTCTCCCAGTTTTCATCCTGCAGTGAGGATGTCAGCGCCAGGATGGTGAATGTCATATTGTCCTCTTATCACAAGCAGGGTACCTCCCAAAATGTCCTCAGCCTGGGGCACCTCTCCCTGGAATCCCAGACAGCAGGACAGCTCCTTAGTGAGTTGTCTACCTGGTGAGTGTTCCCTTTGAATTCTTCCCCTCTGTTTCTTGGTTCTCATTGCTTTTTAAAGGAATATTAAGTGCCTTATGCTTAAGGTTTCCCTTTAGCTCTCTAAGCTTGTCAGGGAGCAAACAACACTACCTTGGTCTCAAAAGTGTCTGGTCTGCTTGCCTCATCACATGGAGACTGAACACATGGAGGGAAGTTGGGTTGGAGGAGGATTCCCAAGCCTTGCCCCGGAAAATGACCTTTGTCTCAGGGGCTGTTACTGCTGCCCTGACACACTTGGTCAGAGGCCAGACCAGGAAACATACCAGAAACACTTTCAGATGTCAGAGACAAACCTCACTTCATTTTCTTTTTTTTTTTTTTTCCTTGTTTTTTTTTTTTTTTTTTTTTTTTAATTTGCTAAGGGTGCATGCGCTTGCTGCTGAGAGAGTGAGCAAAAGCACCCACTCTGGGGGATGGTCATTTCACAGCCTCTTCTTCATATTTCCTTTTAGGATTTTGGGCACACATACACATGTGCCTGGTGTGTTTTCCAGGCCTCCCAGTTCAGGACTCAAACTGGGCCATTGGCTATGTAGGACCCAGCCACCTTAACTGACATGCCACTGACCGGACCTTTCTTTTTTTTTTTTTTCCCCCTTTTCCCTAACTGCAAGAGCACACATGTTTACCAGAGAGCGAGGCAGATGGAAAAAGCACCCCTCAGTGGGACATGGAGACTGCACTGTGGGTTCTACATTTTCAAGTGTCTTGTCTACAGAACAGGTATACTAAGAAAAGAAGTCTTTGGCAACTTATGAGGAGATGAGCTAGTTTGAACAGAGCTACTGGAGGGCCTTTATACTGGCCACACAGTGTGTGTGGCTCCTTTCCAAAGAAAGAAAGAAAAAACTTGCCTTCTCACGAAATTTGGTGTACTCTTTTGCACTTCCTGTGTACAACTACTCTTTTTCTCCAAGTGTCACCATGTTTCATAACTAACAGAATTTTAAAATGAAGGGTCATTTAAGACCTTATTTTAGGATCAGAGGTAGAATTTTTCTTGGAAGAAGGGTGAGGAGATTTCCCTCAACATGCCATTGAAAAATGTTCCCAGCCAAAAGAAAGTTAGCATTTGTTCCCAGTAACAAAAGTATCTT